TCGACCAACTTCGCAGAGCCAAGTACTTCTCGAAAATCGACTTGCGATGAGGTTACCACCAAATTCGCGTCGCCGCTGAAGATTGTCACAAAAACGCATTTCGAACCCGCTACGGCAGTTACGAATATCTGGTGATTCCCTTTGGCCTCACGAACGCGCCCTCGACCTTCCAGATGACAATGAACAGCGTTTTCAGGGAACTCCTGGATAAATGCGTTATTATCTACCTCGACAACATAATAATCTACAGCCGTAGCAGGGAGCAGAACTTATAGGATCTTGATGCAGTCTTCACGCTGCTGCACAAGAATCGCCTCATCACGAAAGGGTCTAAGTGTGACTTTCTTAAGCAAGAGTTGGAGTTTTTGGGCCACGTCGTTTCTACCGAAGGCGTGAAAATCGACCCCAAGAAAATCAAGACCATACAGGAGTGGAAGCCGCCGACCAACATCAAAGAGCTGCAGAGTTTCCTGGGATTTGTCAACTATGTTCGCCATTTTATCCCCAATTTGGCTCGGTTATCTGCCCCGCTAACCGACCGACTAAAGGATCACGATTGTTTTTGGTGGGGAGAGAAGCAGCAAGCTGCATTCGACCAACTCAAAATCGCCCTCATGTCACCGCCCGTTCTTCGCATCTCCGATCCTGACCGTCCATACGAAGTCATCACCGACGCCAGCGACATCGCCATCGGCGCAATTCTCCTACAAGATTTCGGCGACTGATTACAGCCGGTCGCCTACGAATCACGGAAGCTGCAGGGCACGGAAAAAAACTTTACGGTACACGACAAGGAAATGCTGGCGATTGTCCACGCGTTCAAGACGTGGCGATGCTACCTGACAGGTGCTGACGTCATAGTGCGGATCGACCACAAATCCCTCCAGTACCTGCGAGCCCAACCGAATCTCAACCTGCGACAGATCCGATGGCTCGATTTCCTAGAGTCAAATTTCCACTACACCATCACCTACAAACGGGGCGCTAACAATATTGCCGATGCCATGACTCGCCCTACTGCCCATACCGCCGCCATACTAGTCGCCCAGACCAGCCCATTACTTACAGGTCTATTTACCCACGGCTACAAGATCGATCCTTTCTTCCGCTCTGCTATCCATCAACAGCACACCACCGCCACCGGACCTTATTTTAATAAGCGCGATACTTCTCGCATCTGGGTGCCCGGCTACGACTTACTTCGTACCCTGCTAATCCAGGAATCCCACGACAACCCTACATCCGGGCATTTCGGCGTCGATAAAACCATAAAAATGCTGCAGCGGAATTATTACTGGCCGAACATGGCCGATGACGTGCGCAAGTACGTGTCCTCCTGCACTGCCTGCCAGATTATGAAATCGCCGCATCAGCGAGTAGCCGGACTACTACAGCCGTTGGATCCGCCCGAGCGACCCTGGCAACACGTCACGATGGACTACGTGACAAGACTGCTGGCCGGTCCCAGTGGAAACGACGCCATCCTCGTGGTCGTTGACCGACTCACGAAAATGGCACACTTCATCGCCTGCCAACAGACCATCACAGTCGAACAAACAGCGCAGCTGTTCATCGCGAACGTCATCCGACTGCACGGACTGCCCTCCGCCACAACCCATCAGTTCCCATTCTTCCTCAACTACGGACAGGACCCTGTGGTACCCTCTACCCCGAATATCGAGACAAACGTGCCCCGGTCCCAGAAATTTGCTGAAGACATTCTCGCTGCTCGAGAAAAAGCAGCTGAAGCCATCAGGAAAGCCAACCTAGTCGCAAGCCGACAATCGGATCGTCATCGACGCGACGTCACTTACAGATCCCAAGCAAGCTCCGACCCAAATTTTGCGGACCTTTCCAAGTGACAAATATGGTGCCACCTGTCACTGCTCACCTTCGACTTCCGGCTGATTGGCGTCACCACCCGGCTTTCCACGTCAGCCTCTTACGGCCCTACGGACCCAGTTCGTCGGAATTGGCACGCCAACGCGGTGTACCGCAGCTGACGCCCTTGCAGGAACCGACGACTGAGCCCTTGAAAATTCTCGGCCATCGGGTCACGACGCAGCTGAACCGTCGGATGGTTGATTTTCTCGTCCGCTGGCGCGATCGCACGTCAGAAGATGACAGCTGGGTGCCCCTCGCTGAACTAGAATCACACCCGATTCTAACAGCGTATTATCAGCGTCAGAATGTATCCGATGCCCGCGGTCTCGTTTAGGAGGGGGGGGTAGTGTAAGGAATTTCCATTCCTTACTGAGTCGTACGCTAGCGCGTACACCCGAACTCCTCGACTCATCACGTTCGGCCTCATTTATCGGCCCAACCCTTTCCCGAGTCGCGTCCGGCACTGTCGCCCTATTGCCGAACCTACCCACGTTCCGAGGTTATCGCCCTAGCTCGCCAACCCCTATATAACCACGTGCTTTAATTGCAATAGGACCTGGTATTCTCCCGTTATTATTCATTGACATCTTCTAAATCATAACACTGCCTGTCCGGTTCCGTCCGTTCTGTCCCGTAACCCGTCCCGTCCCGAGTCGCATCCCAACCCAGCCCAAACTCCTAGTCGCCTCATTGAATTCGAGAGAAATTGGATTTGCGTTCTGGGCACGGCAAAATCCGTACCGTAGATGGGTGTGCTGATTCCAGACAGCTTGCTTATCAGGCATGTACGCAATTGGTGGGGTTTTTCCGAAGGTTTCTGGTCCCCTACAGTGGACTGCCCCTTGCTCGACACACTTGAAACCCTGAACCTCTTGGAGTCTAAGTTGTACCCGCTGTAACCTCCGGTCCGAGCGTTTCTACACCTGTTTGCATCACTCCGCATACAGAAACTCACTATCCCCTAACAGCCGGTTAACATTAGCAATGCGTTCAGAGGAAATATTATTTTTCCAGCCCAAAAAATAGAACAAGGTACGATCATGAAAAAAGGTGATGGATGGGAAGCATTCAATTATATACAGTTGCTAAGTATTGGGCTGAGAAATCGCCCTAGGACCTTTTCAGAGACTAAGTCCCACTTGTACAAGATACTTGAGTAGTGCAGCCAGGCCTGTCGTTATCAGGGTATTTTACCCTGATTCCCTGATTTCACAGGGTATTTTTTTGGCCAACCCTTAATTTTCAGGGTTGGGTTTTTTTGAACCCTAACCTCTTCAGGGTTGTATGTCTGTGAACACTTAAAATTTCAGGGTTTGCGTTATCCCAACACTGAGTTTTCAGGGAGTAACGCGTACGAACCCTGAATGCGATATCCCTGTAGCTCACAATGCGGAAATTTAGTCGAAGTCCCCAATCTCCAGAGACATTCCCCCCCACACACAACAACCTACAAAAATTGATGAAGTCCTAAAACATTCCCTCACACACCAAGCAACAAAAAAATATCGGCTAAGTCATGTGTCGTACAGACATCCCCCCTACACACCTAACAACAACCCACAAAAATTAGCTAAGTCTTGATAGGCAGTGACAGCACAAAAAAAAACAGCTTAGTCCTATTGTATACAAGTTATTCTCCCCTCCCACACTCCCACAACCAGGGCTCGCCACCCCCCTACCAGCAACCCTGTCAACCCTTGTTTTGCGTTGTTAAATCTGGGAAACGGGGAAGCCATTCCTAAAAATCGAGGGGGTAAAATCACACTGCCACAGAAATCGAAACTGAGGGGAGGGGGAATCGAAACCGACGGGGAAATGGGGAGGGAATCAAAATGGGGGGGAAGGGGGAAGCGAAACGGAGGGGAGAGGGGGGGAACGTGGGGGGGGGGTCGAAACAGAGAGGATGGGGGAAGCGAACGGAGGGGAAGGGGGAAGTGATCGAAACGGAGGGGAGGGGGGAATCGAAAATGGAGGGGAAGGGGGGAATCGAAATGGCAGGAAGGGGGAAAGCTGGGGCATAAGGCGGTGGGAGAAATTTCGCGCCCTTGCAACGCCCCGGTTGGGAAATCCTGGACGTTAATCTTTACCTACCATCGAACGATTGATATTTGTCGAAATGATCGCAAACGATCGTGACCGTTAAAGTTTGTTAGACTTTCAGTTGACCAAATGGGCAACTGGCGAGAATTTCCCTATGTTTAAAATACGGAATTTACTCTCATTTCAATGCAGTAAATAAAAAATGAAAGTCTCATTCAAAACTTTGACGTGTGTTCCAGGTATTTTTTTATTGCCCTATGTTTCCATCCTCCCCCTTCCCTTCCGTTTCGCTCTTCCCCTCCCCTCGGCTTGATTCCCTCCCCTTTTCCCCCCCAGTTTTTATTCCCCCCTCGTGTTGAAAGCAACCCTGAACGTGTTCGTTGCTCAGCAATGCAACCCTGTTTGTTGCTAGCCAACCCTGGAGGTTTCAGGGTTGTAATTTCCATAACACTGAGAAATCAGGGAAGTCAAAATTCCAACACTAGGCCCTCAGGGTAAATTTTTTTTCACATTCGACAGCTCAGGGTGGTTTTTTTTGAAACGTCAGCCCTGAGTGCAGCGGAAGTGTTTAGTAGTTGAACCCTTGCGCTGGTATGTGAGAGCAAGTGATTGATTAAAAGAAACAAGCATACAGCAATATATAGAAAATAGGAAAGCAAGCAGTTGTAGAATACAGTTGGAGGAACGGTTATCGAGTCGCACAGCGACTCGATTGTCGGTTTGGTTACCACCCTTGCAATCGTAACGGTCAGTCGCAACCTCCGGTTGCGACCCTACGAGTCCCTTCGTATTCTTTCGTCCAACCTCCTCGTGTAACTTCCGTTGACTCGCGTACTCGATACGACTTTCCTCGAGTGTAGTGTTACACTTCAGAAACGCTGAAGTCCTTGAGATATTTCCAACACTAAGCAGCAAAATTAACATCAATCTCACATGAATTGTTTAACGACATTTTTTAAGCTGTAGTTAAAAAGATAAACATGTCAGGATGGAAGCATCTAGTTCACGTTGCAAGGAGATGTTGAGTTGAGGTGTACATCATGGCCTCCTAGGCTACACCTAGGCTCCATATTGAGTTGAGGTGGAATACTCCTAGGCTACACCTCCACCACTTCTTCATTGCCATGTCCCTGGCGTCATGCAGTTTCTCAGCATTGCACAGGGGTGTGTGCATCCAAGTGCATCGCCATATAGAGGGATCTTTTAGACCTGATGCAGCAGATTTGAGAATTCATAAGCAGGAAAAGAAAAAGTAGTATACAAAGTCCATTGTCTATCTTCCGGGGGGGGGGGTACATTCAGCATCTGCCCTAGGCACTTCCAAGTTACGACAATAATAATCTTAATGAAAGAATTGCACAAATAACAGGAGAAAAACAAGAAAAAACTCCTGTGTACTTGGACAGTCGAAGGTGTTCTCTCTCCTCTAGCACATCTTACTGTCTCCCGCATACAACTTGAAGTTGAAGCCGTAATAGGCCAACTGAAAGCTCCGAGAGATCGATTTGTTTCTGAAATCCATATCGATTCGCTCCTGAACTCGAATTCCCTCACTTCGACAGTTCGCCTCTCTCGCGGCTGGTGAGATGATCTCATTGCTCCTCACGCGATCAACCCGCAGAAAATCTGCAGAGACGCCGCTGTTGCTTCTGAAACCTTCCGTGAACGTAGAACTTTGAGAGTTCAGGCCGCCTTTCTCAGAAAGTTCGCCCTTCGCCTTTCTCGCGGCCGGTGCTTCGGATCTCCTTGCTCCTCGCGCGTTCAGCCTTCCTCAAAACCAGCTGCTTCTGGAACTTTCCGCGAACCCTCTCAGCCACGGCCCTGTCCCCCTTGAATTGTCTCACGACGCGCGCCCATTTCTCTTGCTCCTCCTGCTGCTTTTTCACCCACCAATTGGGAGGCTCCCAGTCCCCCCAGCAGCCATAACTCGTGGGAAATTCAGGGGGCTCCGCCAGTTGCTTGGGATGATCTGGGGATGGGGGAGGGGAGATGAACACGGTCAACTCGGATCAATCTCGTCCATACATCGCGGAAGGTTTGGGTCAAAACAGGTGCACGGTAGCTATAACTAATAAAGCGGAAATTCTACCTCGTCTGTATGCGGCCTTCAGCTTGGCGCGCTGCGCCTTCGTCATACGAGGAGAGAATTCGGAATTCCAATCGTGTGATGCCCCGGGAAGCTCAAGATCGACGGTCGCCATCGCTGCTGAGGATGCTAGCCTGCTCGAACTTTGGAAGTAGGTCCTTCTGGCAGGAATGTCTCTCGGGAGAAAGGGGCTTGCACGACACTTTCGCGATAAAGCTAGCTGCGGGAAGAAAGAGTCTAGGCTGGCGTCTGGATTTAGGGAGAGAAGGCCCTCAGGAAACGGGAGGAGTCTAGCAGCAGAGGATTGCGCTGTGCAGGCAGATTTTCAACGAAAGAAATGGAAGAACTGCTCACAAAGAATGAACTGAGCTGATTGTGATGAGATGGAAATGAACTGGGTGCAGCGAGCGTATTTAGACCACCTAGGGATTCAGCAGCAGAATTGATTTCTTCCCTTCCCCCAAACCAATGTTCGAGTCGCATGATCGAATCCGAGTCGCATCACCGAATTCGAGAGAAATTGGGATTGCGTTCAAGGCAAGGCAAATCCGAAACTGTACAGCAGACAGTCGTGTAGATTCCACGCAATCCACGTCATCAGTCACTTACGCAGTGGTCGGGGGTTTTCCAAGGGTTTTGGCAACCTGTACAGCATAGGTGGCTTCAAGGTAGAAACCCTGAACCTTTCACGGTATCTGGCTGTACCCGCTGCAATCTGTCAAGACCGAGTACAGCTGTTTCTACACCAATTCGCATCACTTCGTCTATATATTTTCTCTGTCCTCTAGCAGCGACTGTGCGACTGCGATTTGTTACGGAGGAAATCGACATTTCGTCAGCCCAAACGACCTCGCTGACGGTGTTCCAGTCTCTATGGGGAAACCGTTTCTCTTTACGTGTCCACGTCAAACTTCTGAATCCAGTCAAAGCAGCCCAAGTTGAAATTTCGCCTGCGAATTTTGACGCTAACTCCTGCCAGAAGGACCTGCCGAAATGAACCAGAGTGGGAATTCGGATCCGCGCATGCGGATGAGGATGCAGAGGTAATCCAGCCTGCAGGTTGTTGAAAGTACCTCAAAAGACTTAAGCGTTTCTGAAGTGTAACACTACACTCGAAGAAGACTACAAGAGGTACGCGAGTCAACAGAGGTTACACGAGGGGGCGGACAAAGAACACGAAGGGTCTGGGACTCAAAGGGTCGCAACTGGAGGTTGCGACTGACCGTTACAACAGCGCGGATGGTAACCGAAGCGACAATCGAGTCGCTGTGCGACTCGATAAAACCGCTACTGCAACTGTACTCTACAACTGTTTTCTTATCTTCTATATATTGCTGTATGCTTGTCTCTTTAATCAATCACTTGTTCTCACATACTAGTACAAGGGTTCAACTGCCTCAACTTCCGCTGCACTACTCCAAGTCTCAAGTCTCTACAAGCTGGGACTTAGTCTCTGCAAAAGATCCTAAGGCCTTTTTTCAGCCCAACATGGTATCAGAGCTGGTCAGAGACCAAACTCCCAGCAACTACGCTCCATCAACGACCTGCAACTCAACTCAATTCAACGACTTCATTGATTACAAGACATGGACAGCAAGGGCAAGAAAGTCTCTACGGGCTCACCCAGCGCCCAAGAAACTCAACACGGCAACTCTGGTCTGCACACCTCAGGACTGCAGACAGAGACCGGGACTGCTCAAGAAACAACGGGAAGAGCACCGGAGATGGTGACTCCGTCTCCCTCTTCAAGTGTGGACCCGAATCTCATGGAGAGATTCTTCAGCTTCATGTCACACTTCGACCAGCAGCAGCAGACAAGGACACCTGCGCACTCAACACAGAGCAATGGAGGGAATATGGGATTAGCGCCGATGAGCCTCGACAACTCATCCTTCGGGCGACACAATCAAGCACCTACTTTTGCGCCTTATCACTCTTCACCGGGGACGTTCGAGTTCATGCCGCCCCGTGCCCAGCCAACAGCAGCTGCATCACAACAAACACCGAACGAAATCTTAAGTCTTCAGGCACAGTTCTCACACGTAATTAAACTTCAGACATCCTCACCGTTCAACGGACACGACTTCTTTACCTGGAGCTTCGAGTTCGAGCTGCTGATGGAGGCCGCGCATCTTCTGGGATACTTCAACGGGTCCCTGCCATTCCCAAGCAACGGCACTGGGAAGGAACAAGAAATCTTCACGTATCAGTCGCTGCTGGCGTATACGGTACTCCTGAGAAACCTGTCACCACAAGAGCAGCAGAGCATCAGAACGTATCGAAGTTATGGAAACTCCGCGGAACTCGCATGGCATCATCTCAAGTGCCTCTATCAAGCAAACGACAGCGTGACACAAAGCAGACTCATGCAACAACTGACAACAATACAGATGAAGACCGGGGAAAAGGCGATGCAGTATATGAGTCGCCGCCAGACCCTCCGCGACCGCCTGCTTCGGTGCGGAGGAACGATCACTGAAGAAAGCTTCGTGACACTTGTCCTCGCCGGGCTCGGGCCAGAATGGAGAACCACACGATCACTTCTTCGAGCCCACGGAAGAATTTCGGAGATGCACCTCTGCGCCGAGCTTCACGCTGAACAACAGGAGATGGATCTGTTCGAGGAAAGACAACCAAGAAAGCAACAGCAGTTAGTCTTCTACACTCAACGAAGAAACGACAACACCTATAATCGACGCGGCAAGCAAGAACGCGACAACAGGGGACTTACCATCGTGCCGCCGTTTTGCCATAACTGCCAGACTTCCGGGCACTCCAAAGTCAACTGCAACCGCCCTCGCGTTTACCGTGCAGCAGACCCACAAGTCGCTTCCACTCAAGCAAGTCCTCCAAGGCGCCCTTCAACATCTGCACAACAAACACCCAACATCATCAACTGCATGGTACACATCGACAACTGCGCACCCGGATCACCACCCACTTACGCACCAGACGAAGAGGAATTCCCGCCGCCGCGCTCGCAAGGACTTCAGGTCAACCCGACATACGCTGCGGTCGCCAACGCCGAACCCACCGGGCGAAACACCTGGTTCTTGGACAGCTGCTGCGGTCAACACATGTGCTCCTCGGGACGCTTCGTGCAACAGGAGAAACGCCTCAACCGCGACGTCGTCATCACCGTCGCTGTGAGAGTACGACACCGTTTCACAAATTTCCCCTTTCCATATTTCCTTTCTATTTCATTCCTCTTATTATCCTCATTCATTTGGTCTTTATCTCATCTCATTTGGTTTCCTATTCCTCATTTTCCATTATCCTTCGGTTTATCCTGTTATTATAATTATATCACCGACCAGGCTCGGGATGTACTGGCGCGCTATATCTAGCGTAATCCTGCAGTAATCCCTTATAGCCAATAGCCTCGCATGGCTATACGCATGGTGATTCTATATTCTAGAAGGGTCTATTCCCTTTGGATAGGATAAGCTTGGTTACCTGATGTAATCTGGAAGTATAAAAGCACCTTGTACTGATTGATAGTGCAACATTGAGCAAACCTTTCCTCGGGACATTCCATCCTGTGACACTTGGTATCAGAGCCAAGGTTTCAGCTCAACGCTTAACCGCTGAGCCCCCAGGAGCACGCGGAGGATGGAGTCGAAACTTCAATTCCTGTAAGTACAATGCACTTTCATTTAAAGTTTCGACGTTCCTCTCGCAGTTGCACCTGGGGTCCCCTTCGAAGGCGAGATGCCTCGCCAACCGTTCGATGGACTGCATCGACGGTGCCGATTTTTCGCGGGGGCAAATGGCCTCGACCTGGCGAGCGCGTCAGTTCTGGCGGAACATTCCCTGCGACATTCGGAGAAGTTCGCAGTTCGCGACAACACTTGGAGTTGCGCGGAACTCTGCGGAGGTTCGACCGACGACATCCGTCCGATGGGGATTCGACGCTTCAGATCGACCGAGGCGAAAACGAAATCCATCTGAGCGAGTTTGCGTTTCGGCGCGAATGGGAACGGGACCTCGCAAGCCGCAAAATTCTTCGGAGCGTTGGATCGATCGACAGCCGACATCGACGTCCGAAAATTGCTGCAGGAAACGAGTTGACCCGTGCACCGAAAGCTGCTGAACGCGACTCAGGAATGTCTTCAGATCGCTTGGAGTTTGGACCGTCGGATCGACTTTTACTTCAACGGACGAGATGGAGCGCGACTTCTGCCGGAAGGGAGAATGACGCGCAAAACCAGAAATTGGCCGCCTTCAACAGCGTTGACAACATTTGGACAACCAAATTCGGACTCCTCTATTTGGTGACGAATATGGTGCGGAAATCATCTGCAAAGTCAGAAATCTGCCAGAGTATTACCTACTTGGTAATATCTGCTTGCAGAAAAATGACAGGAGAACGTGGATCGTCGGATCGTTGCGGAATCAACGGCACGAATGCAGCGGAGACTACACTATGGAAAATCATCATCATGGAGACAACATTCGTGACCAGTGACTACACAATCGACGCATCTTCTGACTGATGTCGATAACGATCGAGTTATTTTGACGAAGTCATATTCGTTAAAAATGGATCGACATCAATACAGCGGATCTTCACCCAGGAAAAAACAATGGAGCTGCATGAAGACATGTTCTCCATCCACAAGACACTTCTTCATACAAATTGATCGACAACCTATGGGATTGCAGAGAAGTAGCCGTTTTCTCTTGCAATGCTGCCAAGTTCAAGTTGCTGCGAAGGAGCAGATTTCGCACGCAACGACGACGCAGTGAACCCGTCTCGTCAAGGCCAGCGAGACACTACTTCGTAACAGGAGCTGATCGATTCGTCTTCATCAAGAATCTCAGCCATCCGAAGTGATTGATTGGAGCAGTCTCAACATCGACCTCACGAGGCGACACACCAATTATGCGTCGCGATTCCAGGTGTTAATGACCTGCGTGGAAGAAAATTCCGTGCACGTCACGATGCTTCACAGATTGAGGAGTAATTAATCTCTAATCCGGCAAGTACTCGCTCACTAGTGACCCTACGGCACATGCATTGGAGGCGATTCTACCAGAAGCCGAAGCGTTACAAGCACCAACGTAACTTCGACGATGCAGGAGAACGTCAAGCAACACGAGGTGTCAACAAACGAGGGAGATGCGGACTACTACAACATGATCACGCGCACTACCGACCGTACATCGGAGGCACGGATGAGCATACCAGGAATTGCTACCCGTGGATACATTGAGGGGAGAAGCAAATTTCTCTTCACACCCTCAAATGAAACAATCACCGGCAGCAATGGAGCAACACATGTGTACCAATGTGCACGTGTTCCTGGTAGTTACGCCTGTTACACCCATCAGGAACACTCTACTGGGAAGAGGGAGTTGATGGATTC